GTTTTTGCGCTACCAAAAAGAAACACACCGGGGATTCCCGGTGCATTCCCCCCCATAGGGGAGTCTCCCGGGAGGGGGGGGGAGAATTTTTTTTCCCTCCCGCCCGCCACGGGGCCCCCCGGCCCGCAGGTCCGGGCCCGCTCACCATTACCCCCCCTTTCTCGCGGGCCAGCCCCTGCACTTCAATGGCCGAAACACACCCCGGGCCCGGTCGTCACGCACCGTCCGGTTTCTCGACTTTCAGGCCCCAGCAGCGCGGGCCGGACACGGGCCGATGGACCAGCCGGCGGAAAGTTTCCTCCGAGGAAAGAGGAGGGACGGGGCGGGGCGGGCGGGGGAGGCGGGGAGGGAAAGGGCCGGCGGAGGAAGGGGAGAGGAGGGGGAGCGAGGCCTGCGGGGCGTCTTGTCCCCCCACCCCCGCAGGAAACTGCAGGGGAGGCGGGTTCCAGGGGCCCGCCCCGGGCTACTACTAACAACAATAATAATAACGAGGAGGATGGAGTTCTGCCTAGGTGCCAGGCAATGGGCTGAATAAACCCTTTACAATATTATTTTATTTAAGCCTTCTAAATCATCCTGTATTGCGGTGTCATCCCCACTTGGCAGATAAGTAAACTGAGTCACGGATTGAAAAACTTGACCAAACGGTCAGGATTTGAACCCACTGCTCTCTGACCCCAGAGCCTGGCTGGGCTCGGAACCCTGTCCCTCTGCCTTGCTCTTCCTCCCAGGCGGTTCCCTCACCCAGGCAAGACTGCCTGCTTTGTCAGCTTCCCCCAGACCCTCAAGCCACACCCGAGGGAAGGGACTCTTCCCCTCCTCCCAGGGCCCAGCGGTGAGTGTGTCCAGCTGGCTGAGCGCTGGTCAGCAGGGTTAATGAGTGCTGGACTCCGGCTTCAAGCCAGGCTGCAAGGCCAGCCTTGCAGAACCCAGCCTGGGGCCTCTGAGGGCCCCTGTGTTCTGCACCAGAGTGTGGGGCGAAAATGCCTTTCCCTTCTGGCTAAACCTGCCCGTGCACATGCGTTTCCACAAGGGCTCAGGGCTTGTGCATGCAATGTGTGGTGTGATCAGTGTGTGGGCCCAGGTCTTCTTCCTGCCCAGACTCCCAGCCCCCCCTCCGGGGCCCCCCTTCCTGTGCTGGGGCTGGGGTGAGGGGGAGGCCTTCTTGGCGAGAGCCTTAGAGAGGAGGAGGGAAGGAAGGGGGGAGAGGAAATTGCAGACATAGCTGAAGGCGCTGCCTGAGGCCTGTGGGCCAGTGACCCCCCCCCTGTCCAGGCTGGAGACCCCCCACTCCTAGTCCTGAGACTGGGTTCACGCAGAGGGCAGATCTAGCTGGAGAAAGGACTAGCACTGGCTCCCCTGGGGGTGGGAGAGGCACTCCTGGGTATCTCTGTGACTGAGCAGTCTGTTTTGGGAGCATGTGGCACTATTTCTGCCTAAATCTGTGTATCTGTGTGTCTATTTTCATGTTGTATCTGCTTGAGTATTTTTGGGGGGGTGGGCATGTCTGTGTAGAAATCCATACAGTCTCTAGTCAACAAATGCCAACCGAGAGCCCCGTTAGCATCTCCTAGCAATGGGAGGTCAGCGGTGACAGACAGACACCAATCTTTGTCTCATGGAGCTGACACTAAGGTGGACAGACAGACAATGCATGAAGGAGAGACGCGGGTGCTGCTGAGCTCAGAGGATGATGGAACAGGGCCATGTGGTGGGGAACACCTGGGCAGCTCTCCAGGCGGGCAGCTCTCCAGGTGGGCATCTGAGGTGAGAGCTAGATCCTGCGGGGGCAGCCATGCGGGATCTGGGGTGGAGTGTGGGGCTGGAAGGAGGGCGAGGGCCCTGAAATAGAACGTCTTAGGGTCCCTGGACCCTGTGGAGGAGCTAGATGTGCGTGTCATGGGGAGCCCCTGGAGTTAGGAGAGTGTCATGGTTTGGTGACGCCCTTTGGAGAGATCCCTGTAGGGGCTCAGAGTGGGATGGGCCACACAGGCGAGAATGGAAGCAGAGCTGTGCGCAGGCTGGCAGCCCTCCAGGCCAGCGGTGGCAGAGGGCTTGGACCAGGATGGGCTGTGGAGGAGGTGAGGCAGGATCCATTCAGGCAGCGTTTTGAAGGGAGTGTTAACAGGACTTCCTGCATGGGATGTGGATGCCAAGGAAGGAGGAACATAGGACAGCTGCTTGGTATTGGGCCCACACACGTGAGGAAAGTTTAGGTGGGAGCAGCTTTGGGGCAATCTGAGTTTCTTTTTATTTTTTAAAATATATTTTATTGATTTTTTTACAGAGAGGAAGGGAGAGGGATAGAGAGTTAGAAACATTGATGAGAGAGAACCATAGATCAGCTGCCTCCTGCACGCCCCCCACTGGGGATGTGCCTGCAACCAAGGTACATGCCCTTGACTAGACTCGAACCTGGGACCCTTCAGTCTGCAGGCGGACGCTCTATCCACTGAGCCAAACCGGTCAGGGCCCGAGTTTCTTTTTAGATAGATTTGACATGTCCAGTAGATACCGGGTGAGACAGGCAGGTAGAGCCCTGAGTCTGGGCTGGAAATGTGTTTGCGATCTTAACACCCAAGATGGACTGAACACCGTGGGAGTGGGTGAGAAGAGAAGGGGTCTGAAGCCTGAACCCTGGAAGCTCCAGCCTTGAGGGGTCCCAGGGAGGAGGCGTCAGGCAGGAGAGACGAGTGACGGGGGAGGAAGACCTGGCCAGAACCAGGACGCCATCAGCCATGTTAAACTGGGCCGAGAGGCGAGGCGAGGCCAGAATCTGACCCCTGGCTGGGATATTGGTGGGCGTCGTTGGTTGTACCACTGTGCTGAATGCCTACCATCATGAAGATCAATGTGTTTCGGCTGCGCTTGTGACCTCCCCTGGGTGTTGGGGATGTGTGCCTTTGTGTGGCACATACATGTGCCTGTCTCCATGTGTCTCTGCGCCTCTCTGTGTGTGGCAGCTGTGAGACTTCGGGTATGTTTGTGCTAAGCTCTTTCCGTGTATCCCTGTGCTATGCAGATCTCTGGGTGTCACTGTCTACAGACCAAGCTGTGTCTGGGTTGGTGGTGGCATGTGTTTGGTGCGGTCAGGTGTGACTCAGCCCCGGGGAGGCAGGTGGCCATGCTGGAGCAGAGCGGGGGCTGAGATGGTGGCTGGTCCCTTCAGAGAGGGACACGTGGCAGGGGGATACATGTGGCCAAGCCAGGCCAGGGGGAGAGTGACCGCCTTGCCCTGGAGGGTTGGAAGAAGCTGTGGGCTGCTCCTAGGGACCCAAAGTTTTTAGCCCGTGTGGCCATCTGCACAGTCCACGTGTCCTCCTGGCCACCTGCCTATCTGCTTTTCTGCCTGCCTCTCCCTGCCCGCTGGCCCGTCTGTAGGTCCGCCCAGCCACCTGTTTTCCCGGTGCACCGACCGGGACCTCTCTGATCTCTCTGCATGTCTGTCACCTGCCTGCCTGGCTCGCCTCCCCTCTCTCTGCCTGCTGATTGTCCTGTCTTGAGGGGTCCTGTTGGCCTATGACTGACCTGCTGCTGCCCACCTGCCCACTTGCTGGCTGCCTCTCTGCCTTCTTGTCGGTGTGAGAATAGAGACTTGTCACCCTGGGAGGCACAGAGAGTGAGCCTAAGATGAACCACGGGAAAGACAGGTCTTGGTGGGAGGTCAGGGGTTGAGCGATCCGGAGTCTCTCTGGTGGGGCCTCGGGGGCTGGCATATTCAGGGCCTAATGCCAAGCCGACTGCTCCCTTCCCCAGTAGCCAAGCTGGGGCTGGCCCGGCTGCTCTGTTCCTGACACTGGGGCCTCACCCCACTGGGCGGTCAGAGGCTGCCTAGGTCTTGGATGGGGAGAGAAAGGGACTCATTCAAGGCCTCCTACGACCAGCCCATCCTCTAACTGCCTTCCCGGCACCCAGGACCGCTGCTGGGAGGAGGGCAGCCTGAGAGTTTACAAAATGAAGAATAGTCATGGCTACTGAGGAACCTCTTGGCACCTGACACTCTGCTAACTGCTGCGCTGCCCACCCCTCACAACCTCCCAGAAACCAGGTAGTTTGTAGGGAGACTCCATTTTACAGACGAGAAAAGTGGGGTTCAGAGAGGTGGAGTCATATATGTGCGGTCACATAAGAGGTGGGGCCTTAATTCGAACCTCAGGGCCCTGTTCCCAACCATCTTCGAGGTCACGGTTCTCCCCCGTCAGCCCCAGCGCTGCCGTGTCAGGATCCTTCGTGCTGCCCCTTGTATGCTCCTGAGTGAAATTTATGGCCAATATACCCACCTCCACATCTAATTTAAAATGCACACACACATGTATATCAATATAAAAGAAATAAAGGGTAACGGTACGTATCTGAGAAGTGATCAATTGGGGGAAGGCGACAGCTCTGAGGGCAGATTAGCTCCTACTGGGATACTGTGGTGGCGGCAGTGTCTGCAACGGTGACAAACTCTTGGTGAAATTCTGAACAACATAAAGTACAAACTCCTTCCACTCTGCACAGTAGTTGCATTCCTCGAGAATTCAGTGTACGTTATGTGCACACAAAGCCTTTGTGTGTTTATGTGTAAAGTGGAGTTAGATTCTTGGCTCTGGAGATTATAAACAGGT